ACAGATTTTATGCTGTGTATATATGCCATTCTACTTACTAGATAAAAATAAATAATTTCTCAACATTAATTCTCACTGTTGACAAAAACTCTTTTCAAAGAAAATCCAGAGCCATTTTTTTTCAACTTTAGATCATAACTGAATTCAAGGGGGAATTGATGGAGAATGTTCCTCTGGTTCTGTCTGAATGTAAAAAGCGGGACAGCTGGTTGTTTAGATACTGTGTTTAACATATAAATGTGAAATATTGTAAATATATCTTATTGAGAGCAGAGGCTGCTACAGAAGACATGCTTCTCTTTCAGATGTCATGTCATCCTGAACTGAACCAGTACATTCAGGACACACTGCACTGTGTAAAGCCTCTCATTGAGAAGGTAAGATGGGCCCTTGGTGAGTATGAAGGCTGCTACTGCAGCTGGTGTTCTGGGGAATCTCACACTTTAAAACGATGAGCCCCTTTTGTTTTGGCCCCTCAGAATGATGCAGAGAAAGTAGTGGTTGTCATCATGGACAGAGAGCACCATCCAGTGGAGAGGTTTGTGTTTGAAATCTCACAGCCTCCTCTGCTGTCCATTAGGTGAGTCACCTAACAAGTTTACCTTGGAAGTTTTTCAAGTAGTTGGTAAATAATGACTGGTTGTGTTTTATATTTCCCCCCAGAATTAATCTTAGGTCTCATGTCAGATGCTTGCTCCTATTAATAATCAGGTTGGGACAGATGTATCTTTTTTTGTTGTTTGTATTTGTAGCTCTGATATGTTGCTTTCCCATGTGGAGCAATTACTGAGAGCTGTGATCCTGAAGATCAGTGTCTGTGATGCTGTTTTGGACAACAACCCACCTGGTAGGACTCTTTCTTGGACATAGAACACGTCCAAGCGTGAGTCTGCAGCTTATTCAGTGTATAATAGTAGCAGACACATATAGGGAAATACAGTATGCACATCTGTATATTTATCCCTAACAAAATTAGATTAGAGATTTAAGGCCCTTGTGTAACAACTTTCTTTAATATCTCAATGTTCCTTAAGAATTCTATTGTGGTAGACAGATGAATTTGGCCCAGTTTCTGTCTCTGTTGTGATTGCACTTGAGGTGGTCACATGACTCTAGAAGCACTCGCTGTTGCAGGATGTACGTTCACAGTGCTGGTACACACCCGGGAGGCTGCCACACGCAATATGGAGAAGATTCAGGTCATCAAGGTCTGTGACTGGCAGCACATGTTTTGAATTTCTGATTTTACAGTATCGCTGTACACTGCTGGTTAAAAGGCATTTCTGAATGTTCCACCACCAATCTGTTTGCAGGATTTCCCCTGGATAGTCGCAGACGAGCAGGAGGTGCACATGCGTGAACCCAGACTCATACCTCTAAAAACAATAACATCAGACATAGTCAAAGTACGTCCTGATTTTGCGATAAGCAAATGCAATCCTGGTTGTGTGGGTCTAGTTGGTAAAGTGTACTGTCTGATTTATTGGTTTTATCCAGTGTTTACTGGGATTTTTATGTGCTGTTTGTGGTATTTTCCCCTCATCTGCTGTAGATGCAGTTGTATGTAGAAGAAAGGGCACATAAGGCACCATGAGACCTGAACCACTGGCCCTGAAGAGCGACCGATTACATGAACTGTGATTCGTCTGAGCTTACAGGCCTCCGGGTTTCAGTTGAGGCAAAGTTGGGTTGCACCGTTTTGTTTTTTTTTTTTTTTAAAACCAGAATGAACCATTGACTGATTGTGTTCATCAGAGGAAATTGAGTCACTATGATGGTTTATTGAACTTCATATAGCTAAATTATATGTATTATAGATTTTCATACATCCATATTCATATCTATATGATCACAGAAAGGCCTCTGATGAATACATGGACAAAAGTTCATTCTTCATCAGAAGTTTTTGGTATGTTTTATTTCACTTTGAGATTAATTGAATTTTTGCGTTTGTAACCGTCAAATTTTTATTCCATAGAAATTCTTAATTGTATAAGTTGCAACTGCTATATAATACTGATTGTATAAAATATTGCTTATTGATTCGTAGGAGTCCAAATCACATGATTTTTGAAGATGCTTGTCTTATTACTGGATGTGTTTTGAACTTTGAGTACCAAGTACCAGAGCTTTGAAATGCAGTGTCAGTGCAGTCTGTTCATTTGATGTTGCCTTGTCTCTTTTTCAGAGACTTCTGTGTGATTTCCTCAGAGAGTTTGAGTGAAACTGTAATTCTCTATATGACTGTGTTATTGAACAGACAATCTGGCTTTGTTTGAACTTTTATGGTATGATGTTCTCATGTTATACCGTGAAGCTACTATATTTTGAAATAATGTAAAATACGTCGAAGGTATCCTGTGTCGGCCTGGCGTCCCACCCAGGTGTCCCGTGCCATGTGCCCGACGCCTCCTGGGGGGGGCCCGCCTCACCCCGACCCACTACTGGGTCGGTCCTCATGATGCATGTTTAATAGGGTTTTTTTTTTTCTTCATCAGGACCATGTAATCCAAAGTGGTTCTTAGAAATGCTTTGAGAGAGAATTTTGTTATGCCAATAAAGGATACTTGGTGGTTTCGAGAGGTTTCCCATTTTAGATAATTTACATTCCGCCCCTTTTACGATTCACCTCCATCTCTCATTAACTCAGAATATTCCCCCCCCTTCAGGATGTGCGTGACACTGCCTTTCAGTAGCATTCACAATATTATAGATACATCTGTTTTTTTATGTTGTTCTACTGATAATAAACATAACATACTTTGGTTTAGAATAAAATGAATGAGAACAGTATTTTGTGCTATATAACACTCAGAAGTACAACCTTGTCACATGTCACCATGGCACATTTTAAGGGTTGTTTTTCAGGCATTGGACTAGGCCCCTTACTTCAGTGCAGGGAACCCTTAATGCTTCAGATTACCAAAACATTTTGGAGAATTCTATGCTTCCAACTTTGTGGATGCAGTTTGGAGAAGGCCCTGTTCTGCTCCAGCATGAATGTGCCCCAGTGCACAAAGTAAGGTCCATAAAGACATGGTTGGGTGAGTTTGGTGTTGAAGAACTTGACTGGCCTGCACACACCCCTGACCTCAACCCCACCAAGCAGCTTTGGGATGAAGTAGTACGGAGATTGTGAGCCAGACCTTCATGTCCAACATCAGCGGCTGACCTCACAAATGGATGAATGGGCAGAAAATCCCACAGACACTCTCCAGAATCTTGTGGAAAGACTGCACAGTAGGGTGACCACCTAATCCATGTCAGGAGGGACACTATGAGCTACAACAGGATTTGTAAACTACCATTTCATACATTTCAATTAAAAGGATCAGGATTTCACTTAAGCACTGGGTTCTTGCCGTATGCTGATTGGTCAGTCTCCTATAATCAGTAATGTGTCAGTAATGTTAATGCGAAACAGCTGGATGAGTCTTTCAATCTAGGAACTAACCAAACATTTTAGTAGAGCACAGAACGCTTTCAGCTTTAAAGTAGTTCGTAAAAGCTGAAGTAGCTCATAGTGTCCCTCCTGACATGGATTAGGTGGTCACCCTACTGCACAGAGGAGTGGCAGCTGTTATAGACGAGTCGACTAAAAACACACCTGTTTAGTTTAGCTTATAGGGACACTAGTTCTAGCTCTAGCTAGCTTCTCACTCCCAGTTAAACCTATAGTGTGAGGTGTAGAGCTGGGTGGGGATCGGTGCCATTGGCTTTGGATAAACTGAATTGACAGTGCTGTCACTCTAGCTTCACAATTGCTTGTGGGATTGGAGTGCTGACATTTCAGGGACTCCCCATGCCTGCATTCCCACCTGCCTCTCCCTCCTACTTATGCTGCCATAGCCATATCTGCCGGAGCATTGCACTTCATATTGCACTCATCTAACTTTTAGCACTGCCTATAGTCTCCCTTACTTTGATTAATTGCATTTATTTCCCCTACTTCTCCTGGGGGGTGCTGCCTGGAGCCCTCAATCTATCAAGATGTCCAGCACACCCTGCAACATGTGACGTCGCCACTACCAATGACGACCGTGCATCCAGCTCGCCGTTCTGCCTGTGTCATCTTCCTTGTATGACCCGCTCCCTGCCTTCTGGCTGCCTGGCGATTGGAGGGAGTGGTGGCACCGGCTTGTCATCTCCCCCCTGCTCCCCGTTTGTGTTTCAGATTTAACTGTATTTGACTCTCTCTGCCGGCCCCTGGAGGATGGGCTCCCCCTTTGAGTCTGGTCCCTCCCAAGGTTTCTTCCTTCTAGGGAGTTTTTCCTTGCCACTGTCGCCTATGGCTTACTCACTGGGGGCTTTGGGTGGGGATGCTGTAAAGCGCTTTGGGACGATGTAATGTTGTAATAATGCGCTATACAAAAATAAATTTGTTGTTGTTGTTATAGCTGCAAAGGGGGACCAACTCCATACTGATGGCTATGGGTTTAGAATGTGATGTCATAAAAGTTCATATATTGTGTTTGTACGTGTGTGTGTGTGTGTGTGTGTGTGTGTATAAGTGGTTAAAGTTTTATGTTCAAGTTGCATCAATAATTGCAAGTACAACTGCTACTTCCATACTAATGTGAAAATCAGCCTCTCCAAGAAGAAGGAAAAACTGATTTAGAATGTAAATCTTATAGAAAGAAAAAGCTCTAACAAGTCTTCAGTTGTAGCTTTCATGGGATATGAATCATAAAAATGGTCAGTGCTGACTTGAACCTTGAATTGGCCCACCACATACGGCTTCAATGTTAGGTTTAGGCTGTATTTCACACTCCAAGACGGCAGGTGGCGGTCACAGTTTTAGGTGATTGAAGAACAATTTTATCGGAAATATAACAGAGGTGGTAAGAATCACGTGTTTAGGTAATAGTTTTATATGTGATTGATTTGTTCTAAAGCTAGGACGCAGATAATGTTAACTTAAAGCAAACGTGGTTTTAACATTGTCGATATACTGGTGATCGTCTGCGTCAGGTTGGTGAGAAGGATGGGAAATGTATTAGGTCAGCTTGTTAAGTTGGCGTATTGGACTGACTAAGTCCCCGTACGCCACAGTGATTGTTTTTTTTTTTTTTTAAAGATAGGTGTACTTTGCTAAACGGTTTCGTACAAAAGACATTTGTCAGAAAACGCGACAGCAGATGGATTCATTTAGCCGTTTCAAAGTTACCGAGTTTGGTTAGCTAGCTGGAGTGAGGATTTTAATTCTAGACAAGTCAGCACACCCAGACACACGCATTTATATGTATGTTACAGTTGTATTACATTGTAAATGGTGTGTAGGGTTTCAAACTACCCCGGCGCTTTTGACGTAGCAAATATTTGGTTTATAGTGGAATAATATAGACCGTGAGTTTTTCTGAAAGCGCGTCACGCTAGATACGTGAGATGGAAGCCCTGCTGTTCATTTTGCCTTCATGTGTCATGATTGACAGAATTGGAACTTTAACGGGTATTTTAGAAATGTTTTAAACCAAAGTATAATCGCGATTTTTTTTTATTTATTGCAATTTTAAACTTTGTAACGTTTTAGCAAATTATTAATATTGTTCTAATAAATGACGATCAGAATATCTGCACATTACATCACATCTAATTATAAAAGATCATGAATTATCCAGTGATATGGGTATATGCCCCCTTGGTTGCTGAGTCTTTTCCAGGAAAAAAAGAAAGAGGAGTGTACCTAAGGGTATCTCCTTTGATTGTTCAGTTTTTTTCCTTTCTTTATTCCAGAGCCGGGGTCCCGCCGTGTAATTTAGCGCAACCAAGGCTGTGTACGTCCCTCAATGCTTCCCAGGCTGCTCCGCTCTCTGCCGGGCCTGCAGCTGCTTCCCCGGGCCTTTTCTACTCGGTCTCCAGCTCCACCGTACGGGCGCCCGAAACTGCAGCGCACGACCGACCAGGACGAGGACCCGGAGCCGGAGGAGGAACTGGAAGCCCTCTTTAAGTCAGTGAATTAATCATTATGCTATTAAAATTGTCTTACTGAAATATGGAAATGGGACATGTGAATTTCTTCATTCCACTGAATTTGTTGCATGTTAATTGCAATAATTCAGCATTTCATAATTCTGTTAAACCTATTTTAGTTTGGACGTCTAATGGATTGAAATCGGTTTGTAAAAAAAAAATAAAAAAAATAAAAAAAATAAAAATTCATCTCATTTGCCAACCGCGGTTGTAATGATGTACATACATCTAAATGATTCAGTATGGATAGTATAATTAATCTTAATGAGAATATATGACACGTGTATTAGTATGTAAACATGCAAACATGCTTTATTTGCCATTTGCAGAAGTACAGTGGCCTGTACTACGAAGCGGGGTTACTGGCTTATCGGGGTAACTTGTCGGATTTAAGGTACCACAGTTTAAATGGACTTCATATTCGTTCGCTTACATTTTGCCCAGACTACCTTAAATCCGATGTTACCCCGATAAGCCAGTAACCCCGCTTCGTAGTACAGGCCCCAGGTGTTTACATGATTCCTTGTTTGTGCTCAGAGAGGCAACACAAAGACAGAAAACCATCAAGTTCCACAGGCTGAGGCGCCAACTGACCCCCCCGGGGGCCCCCACAAGGAGACTGACCTGGGATGCCATAGAACAGATACGGTATCCATGTTCTGCCGGGTGATTGATAATTACAGCTGCACATTAACTAACTGTTAACAGTTACACAGGATCACACATCAATAAACAGCCGAGCATAATGTTGTATTTTTAGTGCCACCTACAGGCCAGTCTGATATTGTAAAGCAGATTAAGGATCTTCTGGGATGTAGGGGGTCCCTTTAAGAATTTCTAATGTTGAAACATGGAGTGTTCAGTGTGCAGCTCCTGCTCAGCCAAAGCCGACGGCACCCACCACGCACAGCAGGGGTATAACCACCTTCCCTTCCCAATCACCTAGTTACCTGAAGGAAGAGTTTCCCGAAGAGTGGACCCTGGAGCGCCTGGCAGAGGGTTTCTCCGTCAGCCGTGATGTCATACTGAGGGTCCTGAGGAGCAGATTCACCCCCCCTCCGGAGACACGTGCCCGACAGGATGCCAGAGTATCGGCTGCCATGGGGACACAGCCCCTGTTACCTGGGCACCAAGCCAGACGTGATGGGGTGGCACTTCTGGGCGGTGCCACGGCTGCCCTCGGCCCGCCCAGCAAGGGTGTCCTGAAAGCTCTGCCCTCTGGGACACAGACAGACAGGCCCAGCATAACCGCCATGGTGCCCCTTCATAGTGGAGAGGGAAGCCCCATATCGCCCTCTCTGCATCCCTCTGAAAGTCCCCCTCAGAACAGCAGACAGACCCCGCAGGGGACAGAAGGCCAGACTGAGGGCCAGGAGGAGGAGGAGAAGGAGGAGGACTGCTGGAATGGCTGTGTCCTTTCAGAGCAGGAGCTGTTGGAGCTCGTGGAAACATTCCCAGAGCAGGACGCTGCAGTGGTCAGGAAGGCCAATGAGTTTTATGACAGCAAGGGCAACTTCCTGTACCGATTGTGAATCTGTTTGAAATTGAATTGTATACATAAATCTGATAGTGTATTTGGTACTTTAACTAGACCTGGGGTGATGTGAACATTTCACACGTGTTCATAAGGCAGACAGTCTCATCGCAGCACTCAGGTTCAGCACCGTCGACTTCGGAGGATTCATTTCAGTAGGTTTGCTGGCAAAATCAGTCCAAAATCATTTATAAACAAAACAAACCAGTGGAAAAGTAAAGTAACACTGAGTTTATTTGTAAACTGGAGTATTGCTTTCCAATATACAAACAAAACCTATTTAATGAAAGCAAGACTTGAGTTGTACAACATTCTGAACAGCGGGAACCATGTCAAACTTTGCGTGTAGCAACCATCAAACCAACCACAAATCTCAAGTATGCAAAAAAAGATACGGAAAACAGGATTTTCACATGTCTGCATAGAATGATAGTTCTGCATTGACATGGTTTCTACAGGCTGGGAGAGGCAGCGCGTGCAGGGCTTCTGGTTTGAATCCCAGGGTAGAGGGATGGATCAAGGCCCTCAGCCCCCACTGCTCCTGGGCCTGGCTGATCATGCTCTCCCCTGCATGTCACTTTAGATAAAAGCATCTATGCAGGTGTGGTTCATTCACTAAGTCGCTGTTTATCATTCCGATATTAAAATTAAATGAAAACTGAAATTTTCAGTATCCCTGCTGGTGAATGATGATGCGTGGAAGGATCCGTTTGTCGTTTATAGAACCACACCCATAATGGAGACGTCATTGCAGAACAACATATAATAAATACTAACACTACAAGACAGAGGCTTCATTACCTTACCATAAGCACTGTAAAAGGCCCTTCCAGCAGAGAGCTTTTGTCAGCCTCGGTGGATGATAACATGCAATGCAGTGACCCTTTCTGGTTTGCCTACACAAACATGTCGATTGTACTGTAACATTGACACAGACTTCACATGGTAGATTTCAGTCTACGTTGTCTTTCTGAGATAATGCGTTATGTACAGCCAAAAAAAAAAGGAATCGTCATTTTTGGAAGAGGACCTTAGAAGGCGTCACTGTCTCAGCACCACATCGCCCAGCCATGTGGAAGGCGGATCACCTCCAACATCACGGCGGAGACCAGAATTTGTGCTTTTAGGAAGGTGTCCTGCACAGCTGAACGTGGTGACTGGATTCTGCATTTTCCATTTGTCTAGATGTTCAGCCATTGTTTAAGCCTGAGTACAAGTTATTTATGGGGGGGGCAGGTTCTCATAGCTGACTGAATAGCCAAAGTTCATGTCCAAAGATCCGGTTTATAATTATCTCTGAAGCATTCAGTGCTGCATAGTACAGCAATCCTGTCACTTCCTGTAACACTGGACCGTGAAGCTGTCATATTACATTCATTCACCTACATTCCAGTAGCTTATCCAAGTTCCACTCATCCTCCCTAATGAGTTAGAGAAATACTGTGATCATGTGACCCAAGCTGCTTCCACTCTCAGCTTAGGTCAATGAGAATCTAAATGATTTAAATACTGTACTCTACAAACGTGTGTTAAAAGGAGTATGTCACAGTTATATTTGCATGTGACTCTCTAGAAATGCAACTTCAATTAAATTTTTGGTGGATTATGACTAAGGTATTGCATCAACCTTTTTATTGCTTACGACTTTATATACAAAGGTGGGAATTTCACTGCAGTTTGCCACCTGTTTTTAAATCCATTTAATCCCACCCAAGTGATTTTAGGGCTGCGATTTCCCAGAATCCACTGGCTCCAAAATGACCAAGTTATTATAGCCAGGTGAATCCCAAGAGAGACAGGAAAAAAACACACTGATTAAATTTAAAACTACTTTCAATGCCTAAAGTCACACAAAATTACTGGGAAAGAAAAGACTGAATTAAGATGAAAGACAGTAAGCAGCACATGGCGCATGTTTGTGTCTGTTTCCGCTGGTGCCACTTGCCTCCGTCGCCCACCGACTCCCAGAGCACGACGGGGGCTCAGCACTGAGTCAGGCGGTCAGCTGGCGGCTCAGCGGCCCCCAATCCTGCCACCTCACCCCGATAACAGCCGCATGTCACCAAGTACAGGTCCATCCCAACTGGGGATGCTTAAGATCTTTGAAAGACTGCGAGGAGAAAGACGTCGGCCCAGGTCTGCCCAGCAATGCCCAGGTCTGCCCAGCAATGCCCAGGTCTGCCCAGCAATGCCCAGGTCTGCCCAGCAATGCCCAGGTCTGCCCAGCAATGCCCAGGTCTGCCCAGCAATGCCCAGACACCTTGCGTGTGGGACTGAGAGCCAGGTCCTGCTCTTCCCATTGGCTGAGCTGCCAGAGGATTTTTTTTGAGGGGTGGGGCATAGATGAAAGGTAGCAAGAGGGGACAGAAGAAAGGATGATGGGAGGGTCAACAGAGGAGGGGCAGAGAGAGCCGAGCTGTGCTGTGATGTCACTGCCGCTCCTTTTACTCCAGGAGATCCTGTCGGTGGGGGGGGGGGTGAGGGAATGTGCAGTTTCCTGTGGGACATGGGTGGAGCCCACAACAAATGGTAGCCCCTCCCTCCCAGAGACCATCCCATGTCAGTCCAGGACTGCTGAGGAGGGTGCTGTCACACCCCAGTTCACTCTGCTGTCACACCCCAGTTCACTCTGCTGCTTGCAGCTCACTCTGCACACATTTTTGCTCCCTCCCAGCTCCCTGTCAGACGGCCCATGTTTTTGCTCCTACCCAGCTCCCTGTCAGACGGTCCACGTTTTTGCTCCCTCACAGCTCCCTGTCAGACGCTCCACGTTTTTGCTCCCTTACAGCTCCCTGTCAGACGCTCCACGTTTTTGCTCCCGCCCAGCTCCCTGTCAGACGCTCCACGTTTTTGCTCCCTCCCAGCTCCCTGTCAGACGCTCCACGTTTTTGCTCCCTCACAGCTCCCTGTCAGACGGCCCATGTTTTTGCTCCCTCCCAGTTCCGTCAGACGGCCCATGTTTTTGCTCCGTCCCAGCTCCCTGTCAGACGCTCCACGTTTTTGCTCCCTCACAGCTCCCTGTCAGACGCTCCACGTTTTTGCTCCCTCCCAGCTCCCTGTCAGACGGCCCATGTTTTTGCTCCCTCCCAGCTCCCTGTCAGACGGCCCATGTTTTTGCTCCCTCATGGATCGTCTGTGGGTCCCTGAGGACCGGATTGGGAAGCACTGATCTGGATGCCAGCGGACCCCGGTACCTCGTCCGAGTCGTCGTGGTAATCCCTCTTCCCAGACTCAGCTCCCTGGTTGTCCAGTTCGTCCAACCCCTCGGCGCCACCAGCTTCCGCATGTTGCCGGAGGACAGAATACCGATGGACCAGGAACCTGCCGGACAGACGAGGTCAGATGTGCACGTTGGTGGGACAGAGTCATCTTTATCTGTAGCCGTCTGCTTCCCGACATAAAATCAGATGATGATAATTAAACCATTGTGCAGAAATAGTTCTACTAGACTACAACAGCCAGGTCCGCCCTCAGGGCCCCTGTAAGCTATTTATTTAACTTTACTAATGACCTGGCCTGGGGTGAGAGTAAAGTGCCGATTGGGGAAGTGATGTAATCCCCAGGGGAAGTGATGTAATCCCCAGCCTCAATCACAGACAGACTCAGAGGTGCCTGACAGACCAGCAGAGGGTGTCAACTGGATCTTCACCCTGCTTAAATGGACCGGAGAGGAAACTGACCTTCCACCGCAGACGTACTTCTTAACGAAGAGCACACCAGCGACGGCACTCATCAGCATGACCACGACGACAGCGGCCACGATGGTCACCGGACTGTAGGGCTGCCTCTCGCCCTGGCAGAGGAGAAGAAGGCTGGTGGGTTAGGGTTAGGGTTAGGGTTAGGTTAATCTTACTGATTCAGAGCGGACGGCGGACAGAGAGCGGACATGTACCAGGTCAGACGCGCGATTCAGAGCGGACAGCGGACGGCGGACAGAGGGGACTGACTCACCAGCAGCTCTGACTCCAGCAGGTTACTGACGCATTTCACGCTGAGGTCGATCATTTTCCGCTCGGGCATGATGCCGGCCTCGCATTTGTCACCCGGAATCTTCCGGTAGCTAGGAGGAAGACGGGTCAATGAAACTCGATGTCAGGGTAAAGATGGAGCGTGTGCCTTTACAGATACACAGTGCTGCTCGCTGACAGCAGTCTGGACGTAGCACCAAGAACCACGTCATCGCTGGGGGATCACAGCTGAAACAGCACGGTTACAGGTTTTGCATCGGACAGCTTACAGCTAATTTTACGGACAACAACCCTGCACGCTGATTAGCAGACTATTAACGCAGCATCATTTTTTGTTTTGTTTTATTTCTGTTTCAGCTCCAAAAAAATGGCTGAAGCAGCTGCTTGGGGGGGCCTCCTGCCCCCCCCCCGAGCGGGACGGTGGTGTTACGGTGAAGAGGACAGCATACAGTGTGATGGGGGGGTTGGCAGGCGCCCTAAGCTTTACCCGCTGGTCTGCAGCTGCTCCTTCCGGCCATGCAAGCAGAACTGCAGAATATGCCCTTGGAGGTCGGGCTGCTCCAGACACTCAGAGCTGTTCTCCTGTCGGTAGTAGCCAAAGTCGCTGCAGAACAGAGGAGAAGTGGAACCGTGGTGGAGATGTAACGGGAGCAAAGCAAGGCCGAAGGGGGTGGGGGGGGCGCAGGGCGGTGAAGCCGAAGGGGGCGGGGCCGAAGGGGGCGGGGCATACCACAGGAAGTCATCCAGCGTGCAGCGGCACGGCGTGGGCTGCTTGTTGACGACGTAGTCGCGCCCATTCAGACACACAGAGTCTTTGCGCAGCCGTAGGAACTTCTCCTTGTATCCCAGCATGCACCCATCATCAGGGTTGCTGATGTCATCAGAGTGTGCCAGCCACTGAACGTAGTCCTTCTCGTCACCTGCGGAACAGGAAGGGGCACAGTGCAACTGGAAGGAAGTGTTTTAGGAAAGTGCACAACTGAAGTTTGAGGGGGAAGCTGCAGACCTGAAGCATTGTGGCTGGCTAA